AAAAAAGAAAGAAAAAGATACATTATACATATCTCATATCTGCGACTGCGAGAACGAGAGGCGAGGCGACTTCCGTGAATATTTCAGATCTTGCAAGCGCCAAGCGAGACTCCGACACTTTCGTGAAAATTTCAGATCCTTGGGTAATCAATCCCTTTCTTTTTCTTCAAGCAAAAATTGGAATATCATCCAATTTTGAGAACAAGAAGGAATAAGATTTTTTTCGATTTTTCTTCATGGTAATTTTTTCTCTTTAATTGAACACATTTTACTTTTTTGATGAGCATTATTAGACTATTAGTTTTCTTGATTTGGAATTTTCTAGGAATATGATATATTTTGTTAGTTGATTTTAGTTTAGCAAATTTAATTTATTTTGTTAATAATGTTAAATAAACATAAAATTTGGACATGTTTATTAATGGAGAGATTTTTTAAAAGAGCACGAAACAATAATAGTGAGATTGGAAATAGCTCAAGTGTTGGGCCTGTTGGTAGATGTCCTGCTTCAATGCCTAAAGAAGTTGATTTAAATGATCTTCCTTGGGACCCAACAGATAGAAGACGAATTACGGAATATCATCCTAACCAGAGAGATGAAATAAGGAGAAAATATCTTAGTAGAGGACCTTGTCAACCCCGTGGTCATGATTTTCCAAAAAAATTGATGGGTAAAAAATTGAGGCGGTTTAATGTTGTCTGGTTTGATCAGTATAACTGGTTAGAGTACAGCGTGAAGAAGGATAAAATTTTTTGTTTGTGTTGCTATTTGTTTCGAGATAACTTTGAAAATAAAGGTGGAAATGATGCATTTGTTACCGAGGGCTTTTCGAGTTGGAATAAAACAGAGAGATTAGCCTCTCATGTGGGCGATGTTAATAGCTTTCATAACAACGCCGTAAAAAAATGTGATGATTTGTTGAAACAAAGTCAGTCTATTGCAGTTGCTTTCCATAAGCAAAGTGAAGTTGTGAAAAATGAATATCGTATCCGTTTAAATACCTCAATTAGTGCTGCTAAATTTTTGTTGAGGTTAGGATTACCCTTCCGTGGCCATGATGAGTCAGATCAATCTGATAACCGAGGGGTATTCTTAGAAATAATAAAGTATACTGCAGAAAATAATGAGACTGTAGGGAATGTTGTCTTGAAAAATGCTCCAGGAAATAATCAAATGGTGTCTCCGAGTATTCAAAAATACATTGTTCATTGTTTTGCTCAAGAAATCATCCGTTCTAATATAGGTGAAATTGGTGATGATGTGTTTGCTTTGTTGGTTGATGAATCTCGTGATGCTTCTGATAAGGAGCAAATGTCAGTGGTTTTGCGTTTTGTTGATATGCATGGAGTTGTGAAAGAAAGATTTGTTGGTGTTATTCATGTGAAAGAGACAACTTCTTTGTCTCTTAAATCTGCAATTGATTCTTTATTTGCTGAATATGGATTAAGAATGAAAAAGGTTAGAGGCAAGGCTATGATGGAGTAAGCAATATGAAAGGTGAGTTTAATGGCTTGAGATCTTTGATTTTAAAAGAAAATAGTTCTGCATATTATGTTCATTGTTTTGCTCATCAGCTTCAATTGGTTGTTGTGGGACTTGCAAAAAAACATCATGATGTTAAGAATTTTTTTGATATGGTAGCTATTTTGTTGAATATGGTTGGAGCTTCTTGTAAAAGAAAGGATATGATTCGAGAAGCCCAACAAAATAAATTGAAAGAAGCCATTGGTAGTGGTGCAATTGCAACAGGAAAAGGGTTGCATCAAGAGATTTCTTTGCACAGGCCTGGGAGTACACGTTGGGGGTCTCATTACAAAACACTTTTGCGTTTGGTTGAATTATTTTCTTCGGTTATTGAGGTGCTTGAATTTGTTGAAAGTGATGGAAAAGATGAATCTAGACATCAAGCACGTGGTCTTCTCATTTATTTGCAGACATTTGATTTTGTGTTTTACTTACACTTGATATATGCTGAAGGTTTTAGGATTCACAGATTCTTTATCAACGACATTGCAAAGAAAGGATCAAGACATCTTGAATGCTATGTTGTTGGTGAAGGCAACTAAAAGTCAACTTCAAAAGCTTAGAGATAATGGGTGGGATTCTCTCCTCGAGAAAATATCATCTTTTTGTGAGAAACATGACATTGCAGTGCCAGATATGGTGGAATCTTATATTGATCCGAGGCGGCCCAGAGCAAAAGAAAAGGTCACCAAGCTACATCATTACTCGGTGAATTGTTTTTACACTGTTCTTGATATGCAACTTCAAGAATTTAATATCGCTTTAATGAAGTCAACTCTGATTTACTTATTTGTACGACTTCGTTAAATCCTGCTAACTCGTTCCATGAGTTTGACCCCTCAAAGTTGATGAGATTGGCTGAGATTTATCCAGAAGACTTTAGCTCCATGGATCGCATAGCTCTTGAAGATCAACTTGGAGTGTACATTGATAATGCTCGAAATGATGGAAGATTTTCCAACCTCAAGGATATCAGTGATCTCGCTCGAGTTATGGTCGAAACAAAGAAATATCTTTCGCATCCATTGGTGTATAAACTTTTGAAGTTAACTCTTACTTTGCCCGTTGCCACTGCTACTGTCGAGAGAAGTTTTTCGGCGATGAAGTACGTGAAGAATTATTTGCGAAACCGAATGAGTGATCTTTTTCTAAATGATCTTTTGATTTGTTATGTAGAAAATGATTTGCTAGAAAATGTTACGAATGATGTAGTGATTGATCGTTTTCAGAAAATGAAAACTCGTAAGGAACAGTTGTAAGATATGACTTATGTGTAATGTGGAGACATTATTTTTTTTAACTTATTTTTGTTGTTAATTATATGATGCCCCCATTATGTAATCATCCTGGATCCGCCATTGATCTTCAATATATTTATTTTTGAACTCATGCCAAAAATAAATCTTTTACAGTTTGTATTTGTCGGCTTTGAGCCGTGTTTTTAATAGAGATCTTTCTATCGTTGAAAAAAAAAAAATGTGTGTAGCCTTTGGCTTGTAATAAATTATTGTACGTTATACCTTGTTTGCTGATGGACATATGCCAAAAGCTGCCCAAATCTGCAGGCGCTTGAATAGTTCAATTGGGCCGTTATGCATGGATCCAGCCGGGGTCGTTTAATGCAATAAGAGAATATAATTAAATACATTTTTGTTTTATATTTTATTATTTTAAAAATCTCAAGTTCCATTCTACAAGGCTTGTACATTTCCTTAAATAATTAAAAATAAAAAGAACAAAAAAAAAAAATAAAAAAATAAAAAGAATTGTTTTAAGTCAGATCATTAGCTTGATCTAGTTTTTGTTTGTATTATTTTATTTCGTATTTCTGGAATTATAGAATTTTTCTGTTTAAAATTATATGTTAATAGAATAGAGATGGGATTCATAAGCACAATACTGGGCATAATTGGATTTGGGATGGGTTTTACAGTTGGGCTTGTGATTGGATACTTTCTGTTCATCTATTCTCAGCCAACTGATGTAAAGGTAATTTATTTTACTGTGATTTCTTCTGTTCATGATGGAGCCTATGCATATGTAGCAGCAGGGACCATGATGAATTTTTCAGTGACTAAATTTCGTTTCATACAATATATATACGGGAGATGCTACAGTCTCGTTACGGAACCATTCCGTCAGGGTTTGTAACCATTAGATCAACTATCTCCGACGGTTACATGATGATCTAACGGTTACAAACCCCGACGAAATGATTTTGTACCGGAAACCTAGCATTTCCCTAATATATATACGCATCTGTTTTCCCTCAGTGACATAAATTTGTGTTCTCTTTCTTTGGTAACAACAACACACAATGCAGAATCCTGAAGTTCGGCCGTTGGCCGAGCAAACTCCCGAAGGCCTCCAAAAGCTGCTCCCAGAAATACCACTCTGGATAAAAAATCCTGATTACGATCGGGTGCGATTCATATTTCTCGAAAACTTTTTACTTGAAAATTTGACGTTTTCTACGGTTAGTCACAACAAAATCTCATGTGTTTGTTACTGCGTGTGTTCGTTCTCAATGCAGCTCGATTGGCTAAACAAATTCGTCGAGTATATGTGGCCTTACTTAGATAAGGTATGCTCCTTTAAAAGCTCAAAAGCTGTGTATTATTGCACTTTCATGGAGAAATGCCATTTTCTTTGATAAAATCGATCGTTCTCAGGCAATATGCAAGACGGCAAAGCAAATAGCACAGCCCATTATAGACGAGCAAATTCCGAAATACAAAATCGACTCGGTAGAATTTGAAGAACTTACTTTGGGAAGCCTGCCGCCTACTTTTCAAGGCCTGCAACTATTTTCTTGGTGTACCTGATTACTGCATAGTCATTTTCATGAGCCACGCGGGCTTTAGGCTATCGAAACTATTTGTTTTATATAGTAATATCCTTTTCATTATATTAAAATCGTAAAATTATGTTACACCATGCCAGGATTAAAAGTATACAACACTGAGGAGAAAGAATTGATAATGGAATTAGGATTGAAGTGGGCAGGTAATCCTAATGTACTTGTTGCTGCTAAGGCCTTTGGATTGAAAGCTACTGTACAGGTTCTTGAACTGCAAGTGTTTGCATCTCCGCGTATCACTCTAAAGCCTCTGGTCCCGAGCTTTCCCTGTTTCGTAAATATACATGTTTCTCTCATGGAAAAGGTACGAATTTAGGCAGTTTAAATTCCACTCGGTGATAATTTCGCATTTTGTTTAGAGAACATAACGTACATGTTGTTTTGGCAACTGACAAAAGTTCTTTATCATGCGTATCCTGTTAAGCTTTGGCGAACCAAAGTATCTTCTATCGAAATGAAAAACTGAACGCCTAAAGCTAACAATTGCACAATATATGTATATATATAAATATATCTTTATTCAATTCTCTTTTTCAGTTTTTCAATGACCTGTGTTTTGTAGCCTCATGTCGATTTTGGAGTGAAGTTATTAGGGGCTGACCTTATGTCGATTCCCGGTGCATACAGAATCGTACAGGTATGACATAGTTCGATGTTTCGTAATAAGTTCGTAGATAACCAGAATTTCATCAGTAATTATCATGTTACTACTCGGTTTTCTGAGTTATATATGGAAATTTGGCCCCTTTACTAGATCTTATGCTTTATAACCAGGAAATTATAAAGGATCAGGTAGCAAACATGTATTTATGGCCAAAAAGATTAGAAGTCCAAATAATGGATCCTACAAAGTAAGGTTTATTTTGTATTCTACATCTAGTGACCGTTTCTTTCGATTAAACAGTAGTTTTTGAGTACAGGCAAATACTGATAGATCTTTTCAATTTCGAAACAGGGCAATGAAGAAACCAGTTGGGATTCTAAATGTGATTGTTGTGAGGGCAATTAAGCTAAAAAAGAAGGATCTTTTAGGGGCATCTGACCCTTATGTGAAGCTAAAACTCTTAGACGATGACCTCTCAACCAAAAAAACTACTGTCAAACATAGCAATTTGAATCCCGAATGGAATGAAGAGTTTAGTTTTGTCGTTAAGGACCCCGAAACCCAAGTTTTGAGCTTTCAAGTGTATGACTGGGAACAGGTCTGTTTATATTCTTGTTCATAGCTTTTTAGCTGGAAAAAAATAAAATGAGATAAAATTAATCACATTTTCAAAATTTAGGTCGGGTCGCATGACAAGATGGGCTTGAATGTGATCCAGTTAAAGGACCTAACTCCAGAGGAGCAAAGGACCGTGACACTCGATCTCTTGAAAAATTTGAACCCTGATGATGCTCAAAATGAGAAGTCCCGAGGCCAGCTTGTGGTTGAGGTCAACTACAAACCATTTAAGGAAAATGAAATGCCGAGCAATCTTGAAAGGGTCGGTGAAGTCCAGAAGGCTCCGGAAGGAACACCCGAGGGTGGTGGTCTACTTGTAGTTTTAGTGCATGAAGCTCAGGATTTGGAGGGAAAATACCATACTAACCCATCCGTACGTATCAACTTTAGAGGAGAGGAGAAGAAAACTAAGGTACTTTCTTGTTTGGGTAATACTTATTGAGACAATTGTTTGCTTAATGTTTTTTTTTTTTTT